TCTATGTTAGAAAAAAGATTTGTATTTCTCTCTTAACTATTTTGGGTTATTGTAACAATAGATGTAGGCAGTATACTAAGTATGTTATTAAATTGGTTCATTAAGCTCAAGTTCAAGATCACTTGTATGTTGCCAGATGTTTACTTAATATTTATTTGTTCTATTTATATTAATATGCTGAGTATAGAATTCGTAAGTGTTTACATATTTCTAGTTTTTATCATTGAAACATTATAAAATTCTTTTTTATTTTTCTCTTGTTCAGAGTCACCTAGTGGCTCTGTGTTGAGGGCTTATAGCACAAAAATTTGGGATTTGGTCCCTGTGGAGAGCAAAGAGTCCATTCTGCAGCTTTGTTCTGAACAATAAATAAACTCTTGTTGAATGGCTTTCAGAAAGGCAATCCTCTAAGCTGTGTCTTGATAGAAAGTTTAAGATACATACTATGCATATGTTGTTAGGGTATAAATCTTTTCATTATTTAATATTGTTGTTGGTCCATACAGTACAGGTATGTTTTTAAAATATGTTACTAAAATTTGCAGACTTAATTAGTGAAAAGAAGCTAACTCAAACAGATTACAAATTGTTACAAAATCAATCAGACTTAAGTGGAATATTTACATAATTAACAAAAAATCTAACTTAAATAGATTAGTTACAAATTGATAACCAGAAAATGGATCAAACCTTGCAGAACATTTAAAAATTAATTCTAGACTGTCTGTATGGTATTTATCTTGTACTCAACTATAGTGAACCTATACTTAGATATGTATTTGAATAATATTTAGCATCAAGCTTACTGTTTTATTTTTTGTAATTATTCAGCAGACAAGCTGTTTAAAATTTTTTTTTCTCTCAATTAAATATTTATACTATTTGCAGAATAGTATATTTATATAACATTTAGATGCATTTGCAGAGAAAAATAAAATATCAAAATAACTTATTCTAAGCCAATTTTTTTTTTGATTACATGAAAACTATAAGATGCTTAGTTTTTTAGTATATTAAACTGAAAATTTCATTTACAGAATTGTCTAAGCTAAAAAAAAATGGAGATATGCTTCTGGTTAAATTCAGCACAAAGTTTTCATTTAATTAAAATTGAACTGAGTGTATTCTGTAGTTTACTTAAGTAATTTTGAAGAAATTACTTTTAGAATACTAAAAGAAATGTGTGTAATTTGTTTCACATGTTCATTTCAATTTCTATAAAGTGCTGATTGTAAAATAGAACTCTTGTAATAGTTACAATGTAGTTGGCTAGAATTACTTGGCTTCATACTTCACTTGACAGAGACAGTGTGTCTAGTTACCTGACTTCCTGTGAACAAGACTTCCAGTGCACAGCTGTGCTAGCTAAGCTGAGTACATAAGGTCGAATTTTTGGTATTAGTTTCAAATGAGTGGCCACAGTAATAACTTCCATTTTTATAACCACTCTGCTACTCTTGGTTGTTGTGAAACAGGTTGGTTGTATCCTGTTGTTGTAGCTGCTTTGTTCATTTCAGTGATTACTTTTGTCCATTATTTCTTTAAGAGGGTATAAGATGTTTTATTGCATAACCCATTTAATACATTTTTATATGAATATTTTAATTATTTTTCATATCTTTTTTTCAGTGATGTTTAAATAATTATGTATGCAATGGTCATCATTTATTTCAATAATTTTGGAGAAATAAGTTGAAACTAACTGAGCTTTTCATTATAACTAAGTCTGAAAATATTCACCAAGTTTTTATTTCCTGTTTCATATTATTCGACTTATTTTGTGGTAGATCTAAGGCTCTACAATATAAGATTATGGAACAGATTTGTGAAAATATTACAACCAAATTGCAATGTATAATTTTTCAAATCTAAAGTTTTAGCCTTTTTTTTATTATGTACAAGCATTTTACATTGAATATATCCTCATTTGATTGGAATGACTCTTTTTGACCCTTAGAGTTAGTAGAAATATTTCAACACAAACTGTATTATTGAAATGAAACACAATAAGCTGTGTGCGTGATTGTTAAGAAGCATCATCTTTTTCACACACTAGTAATCATTTGCTATTTTATTCATTAATTTCAGCCCAAAATGTTTTTGTCAGCACTAGACATATAAGTGAAATATAAAAAGAATTATATATTGATAATATTTTGAAAATGATAGTATTTTTTGTATAACCAGTAATTTACTTTCTGTTGTTGTGATTAAAACTGATAGAAATATCAATGGATTTCATAATTTAAAATAATGTTTTCTATAGAAATATTTGGCCTAATTCACTTGTATAATATACAAAAAAATAAGATTTACAGTACATTGTTTAGTTTTAACAAGTATTGGCTAGTGAATCAATAGTACATCAGGTTTTGTGTAGTAAAAAAAATCAAGATAAAATAAATTATCTTAGCTGACACGTTTAAGCTTCAGTCGTTTAGTGTTACCTAATTAAGGATCTAGGTACTAACCAGGTTATAATGTATACATGAAAAAACAATTAAGAATTTGTGATTATTAATTTTGAAATAACCAGATCTGTATTATTTGAGATTTATCTACAGAGAAGTGGAATGTTTTAATTTTTTCCTGCCATATGGGAACATGACATATTTTCACTACAGTGGGTTCTTTTCAGGTTAAAGATTAGTTATTGAGATCTTTTTTATTATTTAAGAGTAAAATTTCATGGCATAACTTTTTATTTGAGTTGCTTAATTTTTGTAAAATATATGATTATACAAAAATAATGAAAATTAGAGTCACCAACTTCCAGTCTGACATTCTTGTAATTAAAAGCAAGCACATTTAGAAAACTGTATGCATCATTTATACAAATGTATTAAATGTACTTTCAACTGATGTGCATAGTACTATAGCAAGCTAACTTGGGTGGTGAACAAACTCTCACAAACTTCAATGTTCCCACACAGAAACATTAGCTACTTTCATGCACAAAGTTACCAAGACATGAGAGAATGACACTGCTTTAGTCATTTTATAGTTTATCTTGTTCTTTGGAACCTATGACTGAGTTAGTGGCAATAAATGACAAAAACCACCGAGTGCTACTTTACATTATGGTGATACATAGGTCTCACGTGATTGGTTGATTTGGATGTGTATGTTCAAATTCAACCAATCATACAAGACCAAAGAACAGAGGGCAATTTTTGTAATAATTCTATCATATGAATAAAAATGTTGCAGCTTCTTAAACCTGTAGTATTTTATTTGAAAACCATTATGTTATGTGCACAGTAATTGTGGTAACTATTTACACTTGTGTTTCCATATTGGAATGTATAGACATTAATATTTACACGGTTGCTCAAAGCAAGTAATGAATGGTTGGAAAAATTGAAGTAGCTCATTTAGTGTGCTCTAATGGTCTTTAGAAAAAAATCAACGTAACTGACACTATGGGAAGTGTGTATGTGTAGTTATCATACATTTGGACATGCAGAGTTATGATTTGTGTTCCAAACATAATGCCACAGGAGATGACTATGGGACAGGTGTGTGTAGTTATTATACATTTTGATGTACAAGATTGTTTGTCTGAGCCATAATGTAACAGCAGCTGACACTATAGAACATGTGTGCATGTGGTTATCATACATTTCGATCTATAAGGTTGTGATTTGTGTTTGAACCATAATGTCACAGCAGCTGACACTATAGAACATGTGTGCATGTGGTTATCATACATTTCGATCTATAAGGTTGTGATTTGTGTTTGACCCATAATGT